AATTTTGAAACTTTTCAAAACCTTTTAGATCAAATTTGAAAACAATTAAATAATCATATAATTAATCTTTATCACAAAATTTGACCTAATCTAATTTCATATGGAAAGATAATTTAAATCAATTCTACAAATAATTAATTTATCATATAATCAAGTAATTATCTTAAATTGACAATTATCTTTCAATTGGATGAGGATAATCATTACCTTATCATAAAAATCGAATTTTACCAATCAAAACAGTTTATGGTAATGATCCTAATCCAATTTTGGTCAAATCCCGAAAAATCTACCAACAGACGAGCCGACTCGCCGAGTCAGGCAATGTACTCGTCGAGTCCTACTATGGACTCGTCGGGTTCATCAGACATATTGCAGATTTCGACAATTTTCAGCTTTGAACAAATAACCAATGCATCAAATAACAGAAAAAACAGCCTAGGCTCTGATACCACTTATGGGTTTTGAGCATTACATCAATCCTATGGTGCACATGCAACCCTAATTCCTTGGATCTAGGTTTTTCTCAAGTTATCATGCAATATTAACTATCCAAAACATGAACCCTAACTAGCATACAATTTTCTAGATCTATAACATAAATAAAAGATTAGATGAATACCTTTTGTAGTAGCTAGTAATCCTTGGCCTTAAAGAGCTTAGTACCTCAAATGTGATAACTCTAATAAGTCACAAACACCAAAAGCAATTTGGAAGAATATGAGAGAGGTTGGAAGGTACTCAAAATCGGCTAGGGTTCTCCTTGGAATCAAGTGGCCAAAATTTGGAGTCATAGGGGTTCTTTATATAGCTGAGCTGCTAGGGTTTCAATCAAAACCCTAATCTGACTGCTTAAGCCTTAAGCAGTCCAGTAGACCCTTCCAGAAGGCCCCATATGGACGAATTCTTCTATGGGCTTCCATAGAATCCGTCCATCCCTTCTATTGGGAGTCCACAACTCATCCTGCAATTAACAGTTAATTACAATATCAGTCCCCTTAATCTAATCGGTCTCTTTTGATCATAAAATTAATTCCAAATTAATTTTTAATCAATACTAATTAAATAATATGATTTCTCAATTAATATATTATTAATATAATATATTAATAAATCACAATTAACCTCTTTTCTCATAATTCATCCAGTCAAGTTGCTATGGTGAAGGCAACCCAAAAGGACCATGCTACTATCGGGTTAAGTACATACCAATTATAATTATGGTCTTAGACACCTAATCCAACAAGAATCATGTCATTCAAGTTATCTAATTGCAAAATCCGTAATTGTTTTGTAAATTGGACCAAATAACAAACATTAAATTAATTTCTATTAAATGAATTTAGTGTAAATCTTATTCACATATTCTTACGCTCCCGAGCTTGTGAGGAGTATTGAATGTTGTTGGGAATATTCACACAAAGTTTAATGTATTCTTTCAACCTAACTCTAAGAGCTTACTTAGATTAGATTGGTAAGGTTAGGATTAATCAAAGAGCTTATTTTGGTTAATCAATACGGTGAATGGGAAATGTTAGAGCTTGTTAGCATTTCTAAGTACCAACTTAGATAGAATTGAACAAATATCATTTCATCATTGGAATCACATTGCAAATTTGTCCTGCATGGAGTTGGAGTACATATAAATCTTGAATTTATTTTATTTAAACAATCGTTTACTTATTACTACAATCTTTTGTTTAAATCAGTGCATATAAACCCCCCTCTTTCGTGACCACATTTGTACCTTACGCAAAAAGGTATAAACATTTGTTTCGTGTCTCTATGGATCGACCCTGCTTACCTTGTATTACATTTTTAGTGCAAAGTAGTAGTGTTTTTGGAGTCATTTTGTACCCCATTATTTGTTGGGTTTGACACGCCTAACAGAAATTAGTACAGGAGGATCCCGAAATCCTTGTGTAGCGACCGAAGAAGCGTTTTTCTTTGGTGTCTCAGAAGTTTTCTTAGGAGCTCCATATGGGGGTGGAGAAAGGTTTTTAGAGGAAATGAGAGGAATGGAGGAAGAGGATAAGTTCGGTTAGGTAGACATGATTCTCGAACGATTGTGAACTAAGGCCCTACGGTGGGCGCCAAATTGTTTTGGTTAAAATTCGATCAAGTGTAATTCGACCAAATTGTATCAGAGGTTGTGTAACATTCAGAATGCAGGTATTTACCCTTTAACCCTTGGAATATAAATTATTTTGAAAAGGAGGTTCCTATGTACGTTGGGTGTACATATGAGTACGCTTAGCGAACTAGGGTGGTTTGGACGCGGTCATGCACCACGTACGCGGGGCGTACGTGGCTTAATACAAAAACCCTAATTTTAGGGCATAAACCCTATTTAACCACTCTTATGTCATTTGGACCTAACCCTAAACAGCATCCACTGCCTCTTATCGTCCCTAAACCCTAGTTTGCAAGTGAGTGTGATCCTTGAGCTTAAAAAGGGATTTTGGTGGTCATTGTAGTGTGTTTGCAAGAAAGACAAGGTAGTGATCAAGTCTTGGACGTGGTTGAGCTTCTAGATCCTATATCCACTTCATTTTGGGGAACTTTTGGAGGTAAAAAGTTCAGACTTTGCTTATCTTTTTGCTAGTTTGATTTAGGGTTTGGTAATAAGTCCATTTTTGGTCCATGGATCCTCTCTTGTGAGTTTGAGCAACTCCAGAGGTTAGAAATGTTAGATTTGAGTTCCTTTGGCATGTTAAAAGCATAAAAATGCTAACTTGATGGTTGTTATGGCACCATGCATTAGTTTAAGATCTTAAAGGGAGTCTTAATGGATAAAATAAGGTGTTGGGTTCCCATATGGCATGCAAAGGCATAAATTTGCCAACTTTATGCCCTAGGACCTTCACAATGACCAAGATCTGGAATTAGACGAAGTGGCTACATGATTAAGCACTTAATGGTTATATGTGCAAAAAATGCTTGTACGTTGGGCGTACTAGTTTGTACATTGCGCGTACCACCAAAGAACTTAGTACGCTAAATGTACGGATGTTGTACGTTGGGCGTACACTTCCAATGAGTTTTGGACTTTCGATGGGCTTTTGAGCCATTTAGGCCCTTCTTAACCTTGGGCCTGAATCTATTAGAGTATTTTGGGCTTTGAACTTGTTATTGGACCATAGGTGGCATGGTTGGGCCTGTTTGGCCTTGTGTCCCATTATTGTTCTTGGACCTTGGATGTTAGGCCCATTAATGAAGAAATGCTTTTGGGCCTTATTGGAGGAGTTTGGACTTAGGGTTTTGACCTATACATTGATTTTATGACTTAATTCTAATTAGGTTAACTTGTGTATATTCAGTGTGAGATTTTCGGACCGGTAGCCGAGCAATATTTTTATCAGCAGTCTGAGGTGTGTCTTCTCACTATATCAATGGATCGAAGGCACCAATGTCGGTCCATTATCTGATATGTGGATTGGTAGTAGTTATGCATTGATTGTATGAAGACCCCGGGGGTAGCCCATGACACTTGTGTGAAGACCATGGGGGTAGCCCATGACACTTGGATATCAGACCATGGGGGTAGTCCATGACATTCCAGGTAAAGACCATGAGGGTAGCCCATAGCAACTTTATGTATGTTGCATAGTATTCTGTGGTTGTATGTTATGTGAAAATTTGGGAACTCACTAAGCTCTTGCTTACGGTTTATTTGGGTGTTTTCAGGTACTTCCAGTACTAAGGGGACGGGTCCGAGTTGAAGATGCAGTATTCACTCTCCAACACTTTCCGCATTTATCTATTTTGATACTCTGATATTTGATACGATATGATGTAATGGATTTCTGGGAACAAATTATGATTCGATTTCTATTTTCAAAAATGAAAATTTTATCTGGTTTTTCGGGCTGTTACAGGTTGTGGTGTTAGTGTAATCTAAGTATAGAATAATGATCAAAGTGAGATAAGCGAGTTACAAGGAAATCCCTTGATCTTTTATAAGATCTCCGACATAAAACCACGGGAGGTGATAATGATCACCTGCCTTGTTGTGTTTTATCGATTTAAATCGAAGATTACAAAGATAATGAAGGTAATACAAGTACAAGTATCTTAATCCGGCTAATCGTGTGTGTAGTGTGTGATTTACAAGTGTTATTTATAGTCTAGACTGATAAACAAGAAGTTCGAGATTTCTGGGATCCTCATTGAACAAGTATTTGTACGTTGTTTGACTTGCTATTCTCGGGTCTTAAGTGTGGTTTAAGTAATTCTCCGTTGAGAATAAGTCTTGTGTTGAATAATTCTGCACATGTAATAAAAAAAAAGAATATAACTGTTATAAGTGTTAGGAAATATCAGTGATAATAATCATGATCTTGTGATATATTTAAGGATCACGATGTTTCAAAAATATTAAGGATCCTGAAAATGATTATGGAATCATGCCCCTGACAATATATATATATATATATATATATATATATATATATATATATATATATATATATATATATATATATATATATATATATATACACATAAAAGGTTGGGCCCGATTAACAAAGAAGATGATAAAGAATAACAAGAACATCGATGAATAATACCTAAAATATTTTGATTTGTGAAACTGTTGTCTTCTATACCGCCCTCGGCAATCAACAAATCTAGAAGCATGAATCGAATAGAACTCTAATATCATATAAATTAATCATAATCTAATGATAATTGCTAGAATTTCATTAATATATTAAAACTTTTATATATATATATATATATATATATATATATATATATATATAATATGACAACCCTAACTAAAAATGACTAATTAAAAACGTATCACAAAAAAAAAAAAGCAAAAAACATATTTTATTATGCTAACATATACCTGTCATGGTGTAAATGTTATATAAATACTTATTTGTTTTGGTTGTGTTCTTAAAAGTCGATCTACCTTCCTTCCTACCTCCTACCATCGAAGTAATCAATCGTAGTTTGATGTCGGTATAATTCAATTTTTTTTTAAATCTATAAATATTCCACCTTGTGCATATAAAGTTAAAAAAGAACTCAATTCAAAGACGATCTTCTCCTTTTCTCTCTCTAAAACAATCTCTCTCCGTCTCATGACCGACATTTGTCGTTAGAGCTTGACAATCGAGAGGCAGAGTTCATACACAGTCAAAGAACTCTTGGTGTGATCAGAATCAATTCTTCAATATTTTTTTTTATCAATATATTAGGTAAAGAAACTCAAACCCGAAAAGCTTTTTGCTTATCTACAAAAGGTGGTGCTGGTGGTCGTACGGAATCACCTGTAGCAATGGCGGCGATTCATTTTGTTTAGAGAGTATAAATCACCATTTCTGTTTTATTAAGTATTTCTTTGATAGTAACCCAGAAGAGGGTTTGTTGAAGATAGTGAAATCATCTGTTATTTCATGTGCTTTACAAAGGTGGCGAACTCGAGGGAATCCGGCGATTATGCTAACTTCGATCGTGACACAGACGACGGGGATGGAGGATCAGCTCCACAACCACCGCAATCTCCCCCACCGGATATGTTTTCTTCAGAGTATAGCATGTCGGGGGAGTTGTCTGCTATGGTGACTGCGTTGACTCATGTTGTTTCTGGACATGGATCCGGTGGTATCGGAGGAGCTAGTTCTTCACTGTCGTTTCCTGGTGGCGCCGGTGGGCATTACTCCATGGATTCACCTTCGTCGGCTTATTCGTCGTCGAGCTCTGGTTCGTTTGCTGGACAGAAAAGGGTTCGTGATCAAGAAGAAAGTGTAAATCAATTTCCAGAACAATTCGTTCAAAGATTTTATGGTGGGTATACAGATGTTCGAGGTGGCGAGTCATCATCTTCAAAGGGTTGGTTTCTTTTTTTGGCAATTTGTATATTATTTCGAAATATTATGTATTTTAAATGTGTTGAAATATATTCACACATGGGAATATAATTTATTTTAGAAATTTGAAGAATAATAAATTTTCGAATTGTAATTTAATTATATTATTTTTTAAAAAATGGAATGCTTCTGCAACAGTTAAAGAAGAAGTTACAACACCAACAACCACCGCCGTGGTCGCTTTAACTACAACTGCCGCCACCTCATCACAGCCTCCGGCGATGGAAATTAACCAGTACGAACAAACAGGGGCGAGGAGGCGGAAATACAGAGGAGTACGACAACGACCATGGGGGAAATGGGCAGCGGAGATACGAGACCCACATAAAGCAGCTAGGGTTTGGTTAGGTACATTTGACACGGCGGAGGCCGCCGCTAGAGCCTACGATGAAGCTGCTCTTAGATTCCGGGGAAACAGAGCAAAACTAAATTTTCCAGAAAACGTTAGATTATTACCACCACCACAAATCCTGCCAGCCACCCAACTCGCTATTTCAACTTCTCCGGCGGCCCAATTCACCATCCGGCAACCACCACCACTGCTGCAACCGCAACAATTTCAACCGCCGGGCACCACCGTGGCCAGGGATTACTGGCAATACTCCCAATTACTACAAAGCACTTCCAATTTCGGCCTGCAACAACCACGGAGTAATTTATTACCACAAATGTTTAGTGCATCAACAATGGCTTCTTTACATTCACAAACATCAAATTTATCGTCGTCTTCGTCTACCGAGAATTATCCCTTGTTTTTTCCAAACCAGCCATCTGGTTATTTGGATTTCCGGCAACCCGGCGGCCAAAATCAGGAGGATCAATCAGATTTTCCGGAAACACCGCCGTCGTGGCCTGGCCATGACCAATTCCCACCTCCACCTAATTGATTTATTTATTTCTTTGTAGCATGTTTGCAGTTTATACCTTCCTATAAATCCTGTCATATATCTTCTTCGTAAAAAATATTTGAGAAAAATATAGATAGTTATATCTTCTTCGAAAAAATATTTGAGAAAAATATAGATAGTTATAAATTTTGTCAAATGAAATGTTTTTACGATGGTATTAAGGATAATTGATTGAAAAGATTCGTACAACAGAGTTTTTATACATAATAATTTAATTTATGTTTTATATAATTATATAATATAATTTTTTATATATTATAAAAAAATTATTGCGTACAAATAAGCTTTCTAATTTGATGGATATGTTTAGTCCATAAAATATTGAAATTAATTATATACAATAGTTTTTTTTATAAACTATTTATATCTTGTATTGTATCACTATATAAATATAAATTGTTATATAGAAAAAAAGAATTATTGTATACAAATTAATTTCTATAAAATATACTTACACTTTTTATTTTATTTTATTTTATACAAAAGGAGTAGTTTTATACTTTTATTCCATTACATAATCATCTTTTTTGATTTATTTGTTTCAGTCGAGGTTTCTTTTGTTTTATTCTATGAAAATACATGTAAATCAAAATCAAGAATCTAGGGGATACAAAAAAAAGTTATGAATATTTATTTGGATTTTAGGTTGAGTTTGGTAAGGTCGATTTGATTTTTATCTGAAATATCCGAAATGTATAAAGCAACAGCATGGTTGTCTTCTTGTGTTCGATGGTTTCCGTGGCTTCCGTTTGGTATAAATCAATTGGGTTTGTTTTAATATTCGTTAATTATATGAGATGAGGATGATATATC